AGAGCTGCACACCAATACACACATTCAAACAGTCAGACTCATTGATACTATGAGAGTAAGCGCATCAGGAGGCAGCGCAGATTAGGGATTACATTAGAAATGAGTGCATGTGAGTGCACATGGCTTACAGATGGACTGGAGCATAAGAGAGAGAGAGAAAGAGAGAGAGAGCTTCCATCTGATTAGATCACGTGGTTGCATAGCACCAAACATCACGCAAATGTTGCTGAAGTCACCTAATCCTCGTCTTAAATGGATAGTTCACCCAAAAATGAAAATTAGCCCATGATTTACTCACCCTCAAGCCAGGTGTATATGACATTCTTCTTTCAGACGAATACAATCTAAGTTATATTAAATAATGTCCAGGCTCTTCCATGCTTTATAATGGGAGTGGATGGTAGCCCAAAATTTGAAGCCTAAAAAATTGCACCCATCCATTATAAAAGAAGTCCACACGGCTCCGGTGGGTTAATAAAGTCCTTCTGAAGTGACGTGATGCGTTTGTGTACGAAAAATATCCATATTTACAACTTTTATAAACCTTAATCTCTAGCTTCCGCTAACTGTCATACGCTCGTTCACGAGAGAGTGTCGTCCAGCGGATGACGTAAGACGTAGGCGTCGCATAAACTCCATTGAGAATAAACTAGTCTCGCGAGAAATTAGTTTTGTTTACAGCAAAGGAAAACTAGTGTCCTCTTGGCTTAAATCGAAATCCTCCGGCATTTTTCTTTACAAATCCTCGTTTTGTACTACTAATTTGTGACCGGGGTTTTGTTTTGCTCTCTCCTCTGCGCTTCCACGTTCGTCACTTCCGCATTCATCACCGCGTTTGCCTACGTCCTACATCATCCGCTGGACGCCACTCTCTCGTGAACGGGTGCAATTTTTTAGACTTCAAATTTTGGGCTACCATCCACTTCCATTATAAAGCATGGATTAGCCTGGACATTATTTAATATAACTCAGATTGTATTCGTCTGAAAGAAGAAAGTCATATACACCTAAAATGGCTTGAGGGTGAGTAAATCATGGGGTAATTTTCATTTTTGGGTGAACTATCCCTTTAATAAAGAAAGAACCTCTTCACATTATTCAACCTCCTAAATATCTTACCAGAAACACAATATTCCCGTTAAACCTTTTAAAGGGACATGCACACAAAAATGTGCAACAGAGAAATACACTTAAAAGACATTGACTTGTCTCCGGTAACATGAAACACAGGATACAACGCAGCAGGTCGCCAGACATTTTTCCATCTTTTTCAGTCACTCGCAGTCATTCAATGCCCGACATGTCCAGTATTTATCCGCCCTCTATTATTTTTTTGAACACCTGTAGTAAACAAACACACGTCTAAGGGCATACAGCCTCAGGAGCGTGACCAGCATGCACCTGTCTGTGGCACTCATGAATCCTCACATGCAGACATCTGTGGGCTAAAATCATGAATCTTCATGTATATCGAAAGTGGTTGCACTAAGATATCATAATGCGCTATTTCGAAATCTAAGGTATAAATGTTTTAAGCCATTGTGTTAGAGGAAAAGTACAAAATTTAAATTCTGTATCAACTGACTCACAGTAATGTCATTTTAAACTCATCTTTTGAAGAACACGAAAGGAGATTACCGGTGTTTATTTTTGTTATGATATGAATTTTTAAAATACCGCAATACCGGTGTATGTCGCTTAAACAACGTTCGGAACGCGACACTGTTTGAAAGTGGTCCCTTGTCACTGTTGCACTGTGGTGAGGGAACAGCTGTATGTGTTACTAAGCGTGAAAGTTCCGAAACTGAAGCTGTAGAAAAAAGCGAATTTAATTGTTTGAACGAGCAGATTGCCACAAACACTCGTTATACGCCTCAATCGCATCTTCCGTGCAAGTTGAAAAATTTCAACTCAAGCAGAAAACCTGCATGACGCGTTGTCACACAAGCCAATCAGCGAAGAGCTTATTGACACGTCCGGTTTGAGGCGTCCATTTATATCAGAAAATGGAGGGGAGCATTACGCGATAATTTTATTCGCGTGACCAAAAATATTCCGCTAGTAATCTAGAGTGATAACGCGATGCGAATACTCACTTCGCTTTTGGTGTGCACACCTCATAACAGAATTCACAGTGTAGCAAAATCTCCATCAATACACAGTTCATATTTTCATCAAAATATATATTTTGTCATACCACTCAGCCTTATAGCAAGGACATTCAGCATATTAACTACATCAATCCACGAGTCTCACAAGTGTGAGTAAATCATTTTTAAACTGTTCCTTTAAATGTTTAAATGTGTCTAAATTTGGAGGTATGCTTGTTTCAGCCCAAAGTTCAATATTTTATGCCTTATGTTGGCACTTACCTGAGGGAGTGTTGTCACGTAACGTTTACAAAGAACGGGGACATATATCAGCAGTTCTCGGCATAGCACAGCATGATCACACAGCTTGCTTAATGGAGTTGATGCAGACCAACTCACAGTGCGATATAAACAGCATCATGTCTGTTAGGTATGAGAGGGTCTCTCATTCTCTCTCTCTCACACACAAACACACACACAAGCTGCTGTTCAAAATCTGTAGCTCAGCTCTGGGCTCCATCCTCCACCTCCCACTGAGCTTTCTACTCAAGGGCAAATAACAGAGGATACAAACCAACTCCACCATCAACTACCAATCCCATGTCAACAACAACTCAGATCAGCCAATACAAGAAATATCTGTATTTGATCTGGCATAAACAAAGTATATTTCTACTTGGAAACATGAACTGAGGTGTTTTTAATATCTTATATCAGACTTATTGGATAAAACGGGATGATTCACATTTGATTCTCAGTATCATTACAATATAGTACACAGGTAGTTTTTCAGTAGTTTTTACACCAATTTAATTTTTATAAAATGTGTGTTCCAATAAAAATTGCAAGCAAATTCAAAAGTAAAACAATAGGATGTATCACAGTCATAAACACTGGAGAATGTACTTAATTTTTATGGAAATAATACCATAATGCAAAAAAACAAAAAAAACATTTATGATCCTAAAATAGGCTTTCTTTTCCTTTATGCATATAGTTTATTTTCCTTTTTTTTACTTTATAGGATTCATACTATTATAGGAAAGGTTTCATATTTCTGGATTGTCTTTTTGGATTGCCATAGTAATTCACTTTTCCACCTCACTACAACAGAGTAAGTGATGGCATTATAGAAATTACAGAGTTATTTGGCAACAATAACGATAAAATGTTAAACCATCTCCTTTATTCAGTATCTTTCTCTTAGTCTCTGTTTGTCCATCTTTCTTGAATTTAATGTACGAATAATCCTTTGGCGCTGTATGCATATGAATCACTTATGACTTCTATGTATTTAGATACCTGTGCTGATAACTTAATAATAGGGCCTTGCTGGCATATGGACGCATCTGATATGCATGAATAGCATATAATGGCCCTCCCAGAAAGTCAAGCATTGGGTCACATTCTGATACTGAAGTAACCAGAGATGGATGGGTCCCTATGAGACATTTGACACACAAATGCACACCGGGGACATACTGGGGGGTAGTAAATGTATGTAACTGGTCACAAATGTGGTATTTGAACCAATTTTATACGTCTGAGAACACAGTAATTTGCTCATAATTTTTTAGAATTATGCTACATGCTGTACAAATATAAGCACATGCACAGCATTCAAACAGTCACACAAATGCAAGATAACCAAGGTCAGTTTCTCTGTCACCTAATTAATAATAGAGAATTGAGGCAGATGACCGGCGGCGAGGCAGAACACCACCCCCTCCAGCTCTCACTAAAACACCACACACATACAACACATACAGACAGACACACACATATACACCTACTCCTGTAGGATGCCATAACCTTGATGATCATGTGACTGAATTATAATGCCTTCACTGTCAGCTAAAAGCACCTTCGCCTGCATATGAATACAGCTAACTCTAAATAACTGAATTACTATTAAGGTTAACACAGATAAACCTTGGATGAATGTCAAATGTATTTTAAAAAAACATACATCAAAATCATGACCTCAGATAGAGGTCATTTCATGACAATTGACTGTTAAGGCTATTGGATAATATATTAGCTAATGAATTAAAACTAAACTACAAAGTCTTGTAATGCAGTGAGATATGTGATTACACTCTATGGGATTCAGTTACCTTTCGCATATTTTTGCGCTTGGTCAAATGCACAAAAAATTGTCAAAATGCCTGTCTTGGAGAAGATTCACATAAACAGTCAGTTGTGTATTAAGTGAACATAAACAGTTGCAGAAGAAATCAGACGTGTGTCAATATAATGGATCCATGCATTAGGTCTTAAAGTGACAGCAGCCTAATATATCTTGACATATAATGTTATCATGAAATAAAATTACTTGATTTTTGTCCCCTACCCTACCTTGCAACTCTTTATTTTTTATTTTTTTTATAATTTTAGTAATTAAAGTTAGTTAGTAGTTAGAAATTAAATTATATTAAATAAATATTACTTTCAAATTAGCTGTTGTTTTGTACCAAACAGACAACACCATCTCATGGCAATTCATACATTTTGGTGAATTGGTGGCTAATTCGTAGTTAGTACGTTTTCGTATGATCTGCTTATGCCTCAGTGAAGGTTATGTTTAGGAGTAGGGTTAGGGGTGCTTGGTTTTTTTTTAATCGCTTGAAAATTGTCACTGAATCAGCATTCCGGATAGGGGTTGGAAGATCAATCCACCAGCCAGGAACGATGAACGAAAATGTTCTGGAAAGTGATTTTGTGCCTCTCTGTGATGGTACCACGATCTTGCAATTAAATATACAGCAACGTCTTATATAAGCAACGTCAGCCAGCCTGACACTGGCTTGAATGCTTTACAACCATTGAGTTCACTACTACTAAGTTGGCGTGCATTTGGTAAAAAATTTAAATTAAAAAATGTAAGGATTTCCTTAAAAGGTGTAGTACAGGTTGTTGCGGCACTGGTGTCCCCGGTAGCCGTAGACCCACTCGAGTCGTAGGCGACAGTTGGGAGCTGTTCTGTCAGCCATGTTCGGACGTGTTTTGCTTTGAAGCGAACGGCTGGTGCTTCTTCATTCACCGACGCGACGAGCCGTCACATTCAGTCTCGTTTATCCGCTCAGTCCGCTGTCAGCGCAGCTTCGTCCGGCCAAAGACAAACGGATCGACGACATGTTTCAATTCAAGTGAAGTGCACAACTTTAGACGGTTTGCATAATGTTAGGGCAAATGCTTTGTTTTGTTCAGACGCTGTAAATCGGCTTGGACTACTTGTGACATGTGCGAGGCATGAAGCTACTCTCTCTACTTCTGAGCGGATGGGTGGCTTTGCTCTAGTGACATGTCAAAACCGGAGAACATGGATTTTTCGCATTAGTTAACTGGGACCGGCCAATCATGAGCGGCGGTAGTGATTGACAGAAAGTCTGGCCAATCAGGTCGTGAGGATGAGTTGAATGAAAATGTGTGGACCAATGGCGAGCAGGAGAAGGAAGGCGTAAATTGTCTATGCTCTATATGGCCTGCTCATTTAGGACAAACGGCAGTTTAATGGCTTTTGTCGTAGGCCTACTACAGTACACTAGATTAACTCTGTGAGGTCTGAACTGTTTCTGACCTTTATAAAAGTAGCTTACAAAAATGCTTCTGTTAACGACAGAAAACGGGACTAGATAATAATCTACTTTGTGTTTAATAGATGTAAATAAAATAAAAAAAGTCTTATAATTTTTCAAGTTTTCTCACGTCAATGTTATTTTAGTATCATTGGTGTACTATTATTGTTTTCATCCATATTTTGAATATTTTCCTTTTGAGCCGTCACATTCAGTCCCGTTTATCCGCTCAGTCCGCTGTCAGCGCAGCTTCGTCCGGCCAAAGACAAACGGATCGACGACATGTTTCAATTCAAGTGAAGTGCACAACTTTATGCGGTTTGCATAATGTTAGGGCAAATGCTTTGTTTTGTTCAGACGCTGTAAATCGGCTTGGACTACTTGTGACATGTGCGAGGCATGAAGCTACTCTCTCTACTTCTGAGCGGATGGGTGGCTTTGCTCTAGTGACATGTCAAAACCGGAGAACATGGATTTTTCGCATTAGTTAACTGGGACCGGCCAATCGCGAGCCGGTGGTAGTGACTGACAGAGAGTCTGGCCAATCAGGTCGCGAGGATGAGTTGAATGAAAATGTGTGGGCCAATGGCGAGCAGGAGGAGGTGGGCGTAAGGCGTCTAAGCTACGGCTCTGTGTATGGCCTGCTCATTTAGCACAAACGGCAGTTTAATAGCTTTTGTTGTAGGCCTACTACTACAGTACACTAGTTTAACTCTGCGAGGTCTGAACTCTTTCTGACCTTTACAAAACCAGTATACAAAATGTTTCTGTTAAAGACAAGATATTAATCTACTTTGTTTAATAGATGTTAAAAGTCTTCTAATTATTTTTCAAGTTTTCTCACATCAATGTCATTGTAGTATCATATACACATCATATAGTTTTTATACATATTTTTTATTATTTATATTTTGTTTTATTTTAAAGTTTTAGTAATTTTGTTGTTTTGTCATTTATTTAAATCTATAGTTTAAATTATTTAAATAGTTTTTATTAATATTTATTTCTGTACCAGTGTTACTATATATATCCGGTACATCAAGTTAATATATGTAATATTAAATATGTTAATAATAGGCATGCTAATAAGCTATTAGTGCTGCCAAAACGATTAATCGCGATTAATCTGGTAAAAACTGGTAAAAGTTTTTGTTTACACAATACATAATATGTGTGTACTGTGTATATTTATTATGTATATATAAATACACACACATGCATGAAAAATATGTTATGTTTATATTTTAAATATTTATATATAAATTATATGAATATAAATATATACATGTAAATATATTCTAAATAGATATCGTATGTGTGTGTATTTGTATATACATAATAAATATCTACAGTGCACATACATATATTATGTAAACAAAAACTTTTATTTTGGATGCGATTAATCGCGATTAATCGTTTGACAGCACTTGTCCCTATACTAAAGTGTTTCCAGTATTTTTATACTTTATTTCAAGTAATCTTTTTTTTAATAGTTTTAGTTTTAGTTAATTATAATAACCCTGTCTCACACATAATAATAGGGCTCTGCTGGCATATGTATGCATCTGACATAGATGAATATCATATGATGGCCTTAAAACGTCAAGCACTGGGTCACATTCTGATACTGATGCAACCAGAGATGGTAAACCATGGTCCCGATGAATTCTGGGCCTGGTGTATGAATACATAGGTAAGGGGAGTCTTATACGAGACCTGAAATCAATTAAAAATGATAGAGACAGAAAATTTAGTAGGTGAGGAGATTTTCTATTTGATAGCACAATGAAGGCAAAAGTACAGAGACAAAAGATAAAGCTGTGTTGAAGGCTGTCATTCTCTCAACCGACTCAGACTTGGAGCATTTTTCATGATGTACAAAATGCAAACTTAATCTGAACACACTCCCCATTAATCATATAAACATATTCCAACACTCTTGACATAAATTCCTATTGCAAGCAAGAGGCTAAATGTTAATGACCACTTAATTTATATTCCATAACAATGGAGTGAGTTACTATAGAAAAGGATATTAAACAGTTTGGTATACCTATGAAAATATTCATCTTAAAAAATGGACCCCATCAGAACAAGAAAAGCATTAACATAAGGTGCAAAGGGCCAGTGGAGTGGCACTAAATGTTCACTTCATATAAACTGAACAGAACGGGAGCAGATGCTGATGACAGCAGTCCATTCGCACCGCTCTTGTTTACCACATTAAGACATTGTTTGTCAAATATCTCCACACATTCATTCCTCTCACAGTGAACAAAAACAAGCTGTTTTCTGTTGGTCTTCAAACGTGTAGGAGTAATCCAAGTCACTTTATGGGCACTAAGTGGGCGAAGTTTCTTTTATAAGCATGAATACAAATAAGATGCTCATTTTTGTAATTGTACAAAAAACGCTGTGGGATGTCCAAGGCTTTCATTACCAAAAGAAAACCTAAAAAGCTGCAAATCACTTTTTGGCTTTATTACCTTTTAATTAATGTATAAAGTACTGCTAAATTGTTCAGATGGTTTTAATGACATTGATATTAGTGCTAAATCAATTTCGAAATTAATTAGTGCTTCAACTGCCTCATGGCATTTTACAAAACCAATCGATTTAAATCAGCAACCAAATGCAACGTTTCGCTAACTACATGATGTATAAAACAAATACTTTGTATTCATTAGTGATTTTCAAACAAGTTAGCGATTATTCCATTTAGAATGAAGAATATGTTACAAATCTGTCCATTTTCCTTTTAAACGAGGAATGGTAACCAAGAATCAAAGCGTTGAACCCTTTGTAGAAGAGATGTGCAATTAATCTTCTTTGCAATTAGAACAAGACTAAATACTCCCAACATATACATTAACATCCATCTTATGCAGTTTGTTCAAATATTTCAAGGGTCTGTACTAACCTGAAGCAAAGTCTTAAATATGACTTTCAAAACTGGATCATATTACAAAACATCTGAACTTTTAAAGGACCGTCTGCTAAAAAAAACAACACACGCATACAGGGAATGTCAGAATATCCTCTTGCAACCGTCTAACCAAACGCAGCACTGACCCCCAAAAAAAACTGAATTTAGAAGAATTTTAGAAGAACAGTAGAACCTCTTCGACTTTCATAAAACTATCAAAACATTAATGATACTCGACAGTTCACCTGGAACTTCCATCGTTCAGTTTTCTTATGATATGACGCATTGAAATGCACATGAAAAATGTCAGGTGCCACAATGTTTATGGAAGGATGATGAAAGTCTTCTGGAGCATTATGAAAAGATTACGGAGTGTCACAAGATCAAACACAGTGGCACACAAGAGCTTTGTAGACGCTGCACAACGATATACACTGTGGATCATCACAATATAGGATTGCCACTAAATACAGAGCACAAAGACATTTTAGGTGTCCTGTTTGTTAGATTATTCTGTGTGTTTGTGTTCAGTGTCATTAAAAACACTGATATCCGTTAGTCTTTTCCATCAGCAACAAAAGAAAAACTTCAGAACCTTTTCCAGCTTAAATATCCAACATGCCTAGTGTGTTCAATGAACTAACATCCACTAATTTTGCCCTGTGTTTCAAATTAAAACTGATTTTCAGTTCACATTACAGTACTGAGTTGTTAGACTGAAGAGAAAGAAAATTTCAAAATAAAACCTACACACAGGCATAGGAGACCGAATCCAATGCCCATTATCAACATCATTATGATTATTCCCAATATAGTTTATTTTTGATTACAGATATATTACCAGTATAATTGTTATTATTGTTATTGTATATTATTCAGTTTGTCTTCACAATTTGTTCAGGGAATGATGGCGGGACAGTGGGGAGACGGCAGTCATTGTGACGAGGCTTTAGTGGCTATTGTGGACACGCAGTGCTGTTGGAAGTTGGGGGACATGGCCGTGTTGCAGCCCAGTCTCTGACGCGGGCCTTTCAGACCACCGTCGCCCTCCACGATCCAGGGGCTGCTGTCTGACTCTTTGCCGAGCATGCCGCAGCACTCCTGGGACGGGGCGCAGTTGCGCTCTCCTGCGCCTAAAGCGGGCAGCTGGCCGGGAGGGGGCGGGGCCGAGGGGTCACTGGAGGAGTGGTCTTGGAGGATGCTGATGATGTGGTTCAGGAGATCACTGAAGAACTCTGGGACACCCTCATATCCTGGGAAGAGTAAAAACAAGCTGTAATGTTAAGATTTGTGGTCGTGGAGATGTTTCTTGAATGCAAATTGGTCAGTGAGAACATGCTAGGAAAAAAAATGGGTCTGTGCAATGAATACGTTTCTCATAGTAGTACGAGTGCGATATAGTTCTGCATGCGTGTGAGACAGAGTCGCTGTTTGTGTCAAGTGAGAGTTTGTTGTGTGAGGTTAATAGATGCCACGCCGCTGCTTTATGTAGTAGTTGTAGTTTATTGTGCAATTTAAAAATTGTGTCTCGGCTTTGTTGCGTTCACAGTAGGGCTGTCAAAATGGCTGAAAAACTAAATTCGAATTTTGTGCTTAAATATTATCAAAATTCGAATTATATTCGAATTTAAAATGCATAATTTCAGTTAGGGTAAAGAAAAGCTTTTGGCTTTTCTCCTGAGGCCACAAGAGGGCGCAT